TCAGGGGGAGGAACACTCCACTGGGGTCAGACTGCTGTGACATGGGGTGGGGTGGCAGAGTGGGGGGGGCAGTTGGGTTTTGCCACTTCTGTGCATCTGTGTGACTGTGGCTATATGGCTATTACTACCTCTCTGAGCCTCAGCTTTCGCATCTATCAAGTGGGCTACCCACATCCACTCTGCCTTCCCCTGGGGTGTGCAAAGGATTAAAAAGGAGGGGGAAGGAATGTGAGGTGGCTGAGTGGCACCAGGACTCAGGCCAGTGACACTGTGCAGGCTACTGTTCTTCTGGTACCCAGGAGGGTCTCCCCAAAGCCTGGCCTAATTCCCAGGCCCGAGCACTCGAAGTCCCAGCCCAGGGATTCCTCATTCCCAACACTTGTGTGCTGTACCCCCATGCTTGCCAATTCCCCCAACACCCTCTGGTTCTGAGAAGATGTCCCCCTCTGCCAGGTCTCCGGGCATCTGAAGTTCTTTTGAAGGGAACAGCTCAAAGAGTGCCTCGAGCAGTCAACACTGTTGGTCAGCACTACCAGCCCAGAGACCCCTGGGCAGCCCGCCACTGAGCAGGTAAAGGGGCGAGCAAATAGAAAGAAGGGGGCTCTCAGTCGCTAAGCACATGCTGGGTACCTTTCTGCTTCCTCCCATTCACCCTCCATGGCCCTGTGCTGGGATTACTTCCCCATGTTGTGAAGAAAAGATTCACAGGAGAAGTGAGCAGGCGTGAAGCAGGCGGGAACGCAGCTCCTCAGTGCCTCCCAGGACTTGCCTTGTCCTCCATGCTCCCATGACCCCCCCCCAAAGCACAGCTGGTCTCCCACGGAGCCCAGGGTGAGTGTCCAGTACCTTCTGTGGCATTTCCAGCCTATCATCAGTCACTACCACTCAGGACACCCCAGGTGATGAGGCCTCCACATCAAAAACTCAACACAGCCATATCGCAGGCCAACTGGCCATATGTCTCTCTCCAAAGCCCTCAGGATGCCTTGCTCTTTGCCAAGACCCTGTGGCCTGAGGCCAGTGTCTCTCTGATTGGACGCAATTGTGAAAAGACTCAGCCAGTTTTGGGGGGAGACTCCTGTCCCCAGGGCCACCTTCCTTAGTGAGACCACTCAGTGATGGGGAGGAAAGGCTTGGCTTCCCGCTGGAAGCTGGCCTGGCCCCTCTGCTTCTGAGGATGACAGAGGCCCTGACTTGGCATGAACATGGGTCTGCAGGCCCAGGGTGGTGGTGTATCTCCGCCACCCCCAGCCCAGCTCTTCTGAGCGCATCGTGAGGTTGCTGGTGCAAAACCGCAGAGTCGAAGGGTGGGAAAAGCAGAAGGCGAGAGTCTAGGACACTTGGATCCTGGTTTTCTAAGTAGGTTCAGGCTTCGTTCCCTTTTGGAACATTACCAATCACCAGGAGGAGGCAGGAGGTGACAAGAAGGCACCCCCTCTTCTCTCACCCAGGCTCTATATGTTTCAGTGTCAGCCCCAAGGGTGCTGGGAAGTAACATGGCAGCTCAGGTGCCAACCCTCCCCTGGAAACACAGGACGCAGAGTTCTGGCCACAGGTGCTCTTCTTCTAAAGAGCCACCCTCGGTTGGCCCAGAGCCATCCAGACAGATCTAGAACAAGAACACATCATACCTCTAGAGCTGCCCCCCACCCTCCCACACCCCCCGTTCTCATCTCAGCTCCCTCTATGATCCTATTTTGCATGAGTTGCACCAGCCAACTCATGGGCAAGAACAGGAATCTGATTGACACCACTCACGCAGGTAGGTGTGTAAGCTGCGAAAACCATGCTCTCCCAGGACAGGGAAGAGGCGTGAGTGCCGGGCCCACCTCAGGCAAACAATGCACTAAAAGCTGCTGATCTCACTTGAAGCTGAGCACTTCCCCTAAGCACTTTTGTTCCCACTCATGGCCCTGAATGCCCTGGGGCTTGTCATCCTGGACCATCTGTGCAAAGAGCTCCCAGAACTTTATGCCCATTATCTCTATGGCTCTCCCACCAGCTGCTGTTCAGGAAGAGAGTCCATGGGATTCGAGAATCAATGGGGAGGATATCAGCCTGTAGCAGTGATGGCGAACCTTTTGAGCTCGGCGTGTCAGCATTTTGAAAAACCCTAACTTAACTCTGGTGCCGTGTCACATATAGAAATTTTTTGATATTTGCAACCATAGTAAAACAAAGACTTATATTTTTGATATTTATTTTATATATTTAAATGCCATTTAACAAAGAAAAATCAACCAAAAAAAATGAGTTCGCGTGTCACCTCTGACATGCGTGTCATAGGTTCGCCATCACTGGCCTATAGGAAGGTCCACTGTGCTGCCAGTCACCAGCATTTTATGGAAATCCTATTAAATATCACGGGCAGTGAGGAGGGGCGGGGGGGAAAGGAGGTCCTTGGGGCCAAGGCCCAACTTGAAGTGGGTTGGGGGGACAGCCTGCCTTCCAAGCCTAGAAGGGTGCTCTGGACTGGCCCTGGGGGTAGAGGGAACAGCCACCGTTCCCCCGTGGAGGCCGGGAACAGATGGCTTCAAATGAGCCCAGAGTCTCCAGGAATAACACTTCCCATCTCTAATAAACACTTGACAGGTTTCCAAAGCCCGCCCATCCATCTGGGGATGGTGTTTGCATGCCCAGCTGTCAGGTAGGGAAACTGAGGGCAGAGTGCCAGCCTATAGGGGCTCTGGTCCAGAACGGGGTGCTATGTTCTGCAAGAGGCTCTCTTCCCACGGCCCAGAGGCCTCTCCGAGGCCTGCCTCTGCCTCTGCTCGCTGGGAGGGACACGCTACCACTTTCCCGGACGGTGAGGCAGTGGCCTTCCTCCTGGAGAAGAGCCGGCAGGGACCCTACTGGCAGCCCGACACATGGTGGATCCTCTCCCCTCTCTGACAGCCCGGTCTCATCTGGTTTCCTGGGAACCCCAACCTCTCCCACAGGTCACCCCAGTGATTACTGGGGATCCTCATGCAGCCAGGGCATGCCTGATCCCCAGGAGCCAGCTTCCGAGCTCTGTGCTCAGAGGGTGTGTCTGAAACACACACAAGGTAACTCCCTTCGACTCAGAATAACAGGCTGTCATAGAGGTTGCTCTGCCGTGGGCCCCTCCTGCTGTGGTCACCGCTGCGGGCGCCCAGGCAGGAGCGATCGCTGCTCTTGGCTCCGAGAAGCCCCTAGAAATTGTGTGTCCCCTGTGGGTGCACAGCGAGAAGATGACCCAGTCACTTTGGCCCCCTGTTCCATTTGCTTCTTTCCCACGTAACTTGAAAACGTATCTTAAAGGAAGAGAAAAAGCTGGGGCTGTCATTGTTACTGACACCCCCTCCACCTACCAGGAGCCTCCTCTTACCAGGGCTGGGGACTGTGGGGGGTGGGGGGGAGAGAGAGGAGAGAGGAGGAGGCCTTGTCCAGTCTGCCCTGAGGTGGGCAGGGCGTCAGGAGGCCTGTATGTAGGTAAGAGACCTGGAGAAACTTGCCTCATTTTCCCCATCCACCCAATGATGCTGGCCGGCTCCAGCTCAAAAATATCGCTCTCTCCCCACCTCAATTTTCCTCCAAAGAAAGGCACCTGCCCCGTGGAGAGGGAGGACGAGGTGAATTCGGGAAAAGTTCCCCTCCAGGGCAAAATCTCAGGCCCATTTCTCCTGGGGACAGGAGTTGGGAGAGAGCAGGGATGAGGGGATACACCACGAGGGTGATGCTGAGAGAAGGCAGACTGGCCAATGTGGTCCTCCTGCCTCTTTGCCTGCAGGCGTGGGCTGTCCCCCATCCTTCCCCCAGTGGCCTGGGAACTGCCACTTGGCTTCCATCAAGGCTGGAATAGGAGCCTGACGCCTGGAACTGGGCACCCTCTCCCCGAGGCCCATATACCCTCTGCTCAGATGAGCATTTTTCATGAGCAATTTTTTCCTGTCCCAGACAATTCAGTTCCCCACAGTGTTCCCATGACACCCTGGGGCCCCAGGCGGAAGTTGTAAATCCCTCCGTCCTCAGGGATGAGGAAAGGGGCGCTGGGTGGGGGAGTCCACTCCAGATTGGACTGGAGGTCTAGACAGCAAGACTGGCCCCTGTCCCTCCCGAGAGCATCGGTCATGGCACTGCCTGGGAGGCCAGCTCTCAGGTTCCCCAGGTCCATCATCCAAATGCAAACTTTCTCTCTCTCGGCCAAGGCGAGGATGAAGGCAGGAAGCTTTCTTTGAAAGCATGGGAGAGAAGGCAGCATCCTTTGCCCCTGGGGGCCCGGGAGCCCAGCCCACCCCGCATAGAATGCGACCCCATCCGGCAGCAGCTCAGCGGCGATGCTGTGGTACCTCCTCACGGTGGAGAAGATCGCAGAGGCAGCGCGCACCCCTCCCAGCTCAGCCCGAGAGTGGGCGGCACAGCCAGGGGGAATCCCTGGGTGGGGGTGGTCCAGGGAGGCAACTCCCAGCTGGCTGTCAGCTGGCGGCCGGGGACCCCCAGGCAAGCCTCCCCCACCACCCTCCTCCTACACCACCCGGGAAGACAATCGACCCAGACATGGCCACACGGCCCTCCGCCCTCCCCAGTTGGAGGCTCATTCCATCCACCCTCCCCTGGGTCCAGGCCGGGCCAAGCCAGAGAGGCAAAGGAGTGTGGCGCAGTCGCCCCCACCCCCACCCCTCCCACTCAGAGGTCCCTGACAGCACAGAGCACGCAGCCCCCCCTCTCCCCCTCCCCCCACACCTCGTGGAAGACCCGGATTCTGCGCTCCTTCTCCCACCCCGATGCGGGGCTCCAACCACCCCCACCCCCGTGCTCACCACTTCTGCGCCCTCCGTGCCACGGCCCAGCCCCAGGCAAGGTGTTCAGGCCGCGGAGATGCGGTGAGAGACACTCGCTCCGGATCTGGGAGGAGACTGCCAGCGGGTCCTCCTCCTCACCGGGTGGGTGAAGCCAGCCCCCCTGCCAAGGGACAGTCGGCAAATTCCCCCCGGCAGCACCGCGGGAGCGGCATCCCGGCTCCGCCCCAGGCTGCTCTGACCCGCCGCTGGGGAAACCCGGGCGGGACCATCTCAGACAGAGGCCCAGGCTCCGCCTCAGAGACCTAGACCAGGAACCGTCTGCAAATTACCACCGCAAACGCACAGGCTACCGGTCCCTGTCTGCCTGATGTCTTGCTCCTCTCTGCCTCCCCTCCAGCTCTCACCCCACCCAAGCTGTCCACGGAGGCATGTTCCTTACCAACCTCCCCAACCCTGCCAGCCAAAGCATAAACACAGAACACCCCAAAATGCACAACCCCACAAAGGTAGCAGCGCTCGGCCCCACCCAGGGACCAGCTCCTGGCACGGGCCCAGTGGCTGTTTCCGCCTCCTTCTTCCCCGGAGAAGGAAAGATCCACACACTGGCCATCGCCCGCTCGCTCGGGAAGTCCAAGGGAGTGGGCTGGGTCGTGTCCAGTTGCTGTGGGGCACAGTCTGCAGGTCTCCAGTTTCATCGAAATCCTGGCCACTCTACTAGAGGGGACTAGTTTGGAGGCAGGAGCCAGTGTCTGAACCCCCAAAGGTCAGTGTGACAGGTAAGGGGCAGGAGTCAGCAGCCACTCTCGCTCTCTCCCAGGGAGGGGCCTAGGTGCGTTTATCTAATAGACATTGTCCAGGACTTGCTGTACAAAAGCTAATGGGAGAGGAGGGCTGCTAAACAGGATGTGAACGTGGCTCTCAATAGTGTTATAATGGGAAGAAATTGTTAGCGATGTTAGCAATATACTAAGAAAGTGATAGAGGCAGCAGTGTGAACACAGGGTTAAGGGGGCGGGGCTCAAAGGGTAGCTATGCTTTCATGGGTTGGTTCCCCATACCCAGCAGCACAGTGCCCCCTCCAGGTGGGCACACCCTGATTATGTCTCTCCTTGCCAAGCACCTGCCTCCCACCCCCAATCCCTACCCTCTGGTTCTTCTGATCCAGCCACTCTACGAAAATTCAAAGTGAGCCACAAGACACATTCTGTCTGTCCAGTTCTTCTCTCACTCACCCATTCATTAGTTTTTATTCTTTCATGGGACAGTAAGGCTTTTGGCCATCTATTGTACAGGAGCAAGAGGGCATCAGGGGTCTGGTTCTAGCCCTGGCTCAGCTGTTAGTGTGCTGTGCAATCTTGGGTAACTTGCTTGATCTCTCTGTTTTCCCTCTCATCTATAATACAGAAAGCATTGGGCTAGTCGGGGTCTAAGGTCCCTCTGGTCCAAACATTTCTATCACTCTCTTCTAGGATAACAAAGATAAGCCAGATACATATAAGAGCGGTGTGTAAGAACTCTAGCTGCCTTGATTTGAATCACATCTGGGCCACTTAAATACAGGACTTGACCTCTCTGATCTTCATTCTTTGCATTTATAAAATGGGGGAAATAATAACAACCTTAAATCGTGGCTGTGAGGGTTAAATGAGATATTGTGTACAAAGTGGGTGATGCTCAGTAAACATTAGTTGCTGCTCTCTGAGCTTCATTCTTTGCATCTATAGAATGGGGGAAATAATAACAACAACCTTAAATCATGGTTGTGAGGGTTAAATGAGATATTGTATACAAAGTGGGTGATGCTCAGTAAACATTAGTTGCTGCTGTGATGGTCCTGGGGGGAGAGTAGAACCCGGACAGAAGCAGTTTGTCCTCTGTCAGCTTCCTCATGACAAGTGTCTGACCCCAGGGAGGAAGAACCAAGGGTCTTGTGCATGGAGGTAATGGCTGTTCCTTTAGAAAGGCTCTGTGTTACGTGGGGAGAGCATGGTCTTTGGATACAGTTGAACCTTGATTTAAATCTGGGCTCTGCCTCTTACTTGCTGTGTGACCTTGTACTAGTTCCTTAACCACTCTGAGATTAATTTTCCCATCTGTAAAATGGGCACCATAAGCAACTGAAAGGAGCCAAATCATAGTACCTACCTCAGTGAGTGACTGTGACTAACACAACTAAGTTCTAGCCAAAGGAATGTGAATGGAAGGGATATGTTTGCTTCTGGGACACATTCTTTACTCTTTTATTTTTAATCCTCACCTAAGGACATGCTTAGAGAGAGAAGGATGGAGGGAAGGAGGGAGGGAGAGAGGGAGAGGGATAGAGAGATAGATAGATAGAGAGAGAAAGATGAGAGTGAAACATTGATTGGTTGCCTTCCATACAGTCCCCGACTGGGGATCAAACCTGAAACCCAGGTATGTGCCTGGATGGGGAATCAAACGGGCAACCTTTTGGTGCATGGGACAATGCTCAACCGAGTGAGCCACTCCGGCTGGGCTGGCCACGTTCTTTTTTTTTTTTTTTTTTAATATATTTTATTGATTTTTCACAGAGAGGAAGGAAGAGGGATAGAGAGTTAGAAACATCAATGAGAGAGAAACATCGATCAGCTGCCTCCTGCACACTCCTTACTGGGGATGTAGAACCCGGACAGAAGCAGTTGATTTGAATCACGTCTGGGCCACTTAAATACAGGACTTGACCCGCAACCAAGGTACATGCCCTTAACCGGAATCGAACCTGGGACCCTTGAGTCCGCAGGCCGACGCTTTATCCACTGAGCCAAACCGGTCAGGGCTGGCCACGTTCTTAAAAAGAAGCTGCATGCTGTCCACTTCCCCTTGTGCAAACTGGACTGTGGGCATGGGGATGGAGGTGATGGGCAGCTCTGATGATGCCAACAAAGTCAACACCCTAGGGTTGGCCAATCAACAAGACATTAAGAACCTGAGTTCATGCTGACCTGGAGGAGAAGAGCCCTGGACTGCTGACCACCCTGGTCTCTATGACAGCAGCTGAACCAATAACCTCACTGATAAACCTAGCCTCCTGATTTTCAAGTCCACAGCGGATGAGCAGGGGCATACTGGAAGGAGAAAGGACATTAAAAAAAAAAAAAAAAGCAAGCGCCATGAAATCAGCAAAAGTCAAGAGCAGAGGAAATAGGACAACTGTGAAAACTCAGAAGTTTGGGGCCATTTGGTTCAGAGTCACTCCATGAGGCTTGGGGACATCATTGTATTACAGGGTAACATTGGAAATATGCTACTGACAACAATCCTGAATCATTAGGAGAAATATAATATTCTGATTGAAATTTTATTTTAAAAGGAAAGCAATTATATGATATATTTAGAAAGCGTTTTTGGACAAAAATGGTTAACATAAAATAAAACTTGTATGCTTATGGGTAAAAATCTTCGGCATCCGAAAAACTCAAGATGATACTTTTTCTCAAGGGGCAGAAAGATTTTGATTCATTGATATTTATTTTTATCTTCCACTAGATTATAAGTCCTGTGAAGGTCAGATTGTTTCTCCATTTTCTTTTTATTCTTAGTATCCAGCACAGATACTTCTTAATGGCTATGGGAGTAAAGTCTGTGTTACCTTGGATGCCAGAGCTTGGCAGAGGCCTGCTAGCGGATTTGAAATACTGATTAATGAAACTGCTGGGGGTCCTAGACCATTCTAGTGAGGAGCTGCAAAGGCACAGAGTGTGATGTGTCCACCGTGGTCCTGGGGCCTCACCCCTGTTGTCTGGAGGTCATTTCATCGGGAACTCTCCCCTGAGCTCGGAAAGACCTGCGCACAAAACTATTCATTGCAGAACGGATTGTAATTGCTTAAAACAAACACAGCTGTGCACAATCTACACTGCACGTGGCCTTTCTGCACTGCCCACACCTGATGATCAGGAAAACTCAAAGTGAGAGGAAAGAAAGAGGTGGGAGGCTCAGGAAAGAGTCCGCAAGGTGTGTTCTCTGTTTCTCGTCAGTTCAACTCCAGTGATTTATTTTATTTTAAATGTTTTTATTGATTTCGGAGAGACGAAGGGAGAGGGAGAGAGGGATAGAAACATCAATGATGAGAGAGAATCATTGATTGGCTGCCCCCTGTACGCTCCCAACAGGCATGTGCCCTGACCAGGAATCGAACTGTGACCTCCTGGTTCATGGGTCGATGCTCAACCACAGAACCACACCAGCCGGGCCAACTCCAGTGATTTTAGGCTTTGGGGCAGGAGAGCCACACTCATGTCCCATCACTACAGGGCCTGGTGCTTTGTGGGACTGACAGGCAGGGAGTAAGTAGGGTGAGGTGGGGGTTCGCAGGGGGGATGGGAATGAAACGCGGCAGGTTTTGCTGTAGGAGTCAGAATGCAAACTATGTCACTGACAGAGACAGTATTTTCAAAGGAGAACCACATCACTGTTCACACATGAAGCGACAATCCAGATACTCTGCAGTGGTTCTCAACCTTCTGGCCCTTTAAATACAGTTCCTCATGCTGTGACCCAACCATAAAATTATTTTCGTTGCTACTTCATCACTGTCATGTTGCTACTGTTATGAATTGTAATGTAAATATCTGATATGCAGGATGGTCTTAGGCAACCCCTGTGAAAGGGTTGTTCGACTGCCAAAGGGGTCGCGACCCACAGGTTGAGAACCGCTGCTCTAGGGTATCCCCTGTCCCCAAGAGCCAGATCTAGATTCTCCAAGGCAGTGGGCCCACTGGGAGCTCAGGCTTCTATCACACACTCTAACCTGCCTTTCCAAACGGAAGAGGATTCGACTTCCGGTACAGAAGGGAGGGGAGCAATGTATTGAAGTGGAAAACTACTTTCTAGTCTCCTCTGATTAACCACACTTTGGGCTTAGGCCAGACCTCAACTTTAGGTCCAGAACACAGCACAGACCCCTGATTAGGAACTGGCATTCCCCCAGGTCGGTGGGGCCAGAGTGGAGAAAGCAGGGCCCTCTAACCTCTTGGCCCTCCACGGCAGAGAATCGGGGCCTCCCCTCTGCTGGCACAGCCCGGCCTCCCTGTCCCCCTTCCCTCTGGCTCAGACAGGGCCCCACTCACCAAGACCCCAGTAGGCAGGCGCTCTTAGCTAGCAGAAGTCCCTTTTACCAGTACTTCTCTCCTGGAAGAGGGGAAATCCGTGATTGGTACGAAGTCATTGTCAGCCACTCCCAACAGCCACCAGCAGTTATCAATACTGGAAACTTCTGATGGGCCAGGTCCGAGGC